TGTTATTCACTTACAACAACTACAAATTAGAATGCAATGATTAACAATACGCCTTAGCAGCTACTTCTTGTAATATGATAATCTTTTTTCTTTTATTTTTCAATCTGAAATGTGCGTAAAATCACTTTTTTCACATTCCTACCATTTGGAATAGATTAGATTTAACGGGATCTTTAGTTTCATTCAGGATATACACGATTGCGGAAAACAATGGCTATTTTTAATAGTTAAATCCATCAAGTAGACCATACAGCGTGTAACTTTAATTAATTCATTTTAGTTTTGAATAGAGTTTATATTTTTCAGTTGTGATGCACTCAGCCGCTACTTTTAATTGGATGTCAACATTTTTACCACTCTTCCATGGTCATAAAATAATTCCAAGCATTATGTTTACCGCGCACATAATTTGTTGTAAAAAATCCATTGAAAAGAAAAGGAATCCTCCGGTAATATAAAGGTAATTTTTTGTTTTTAAATTTGAAGCTAGGAACGCGGGTTGATAGACGCGTTATAGCTTCCTAGTAGAAACAAAATTGTAAAGGTAAAATGCTTGCGCTCCGGAAATTAAACAAAGTATATATACTAAGCGAAATAAACGTGTTTGCCATAAGGAAGCGGAAGACGGTGGGTTTATAAAACTTGATCCAGTGTGAATAACTGTCGACTGCAGAAAGATCATTATTCATAATAATGCGCTACGTGTTAATAATATTTGTTTTAATACTTTGTGATAAAATTGCGTAAAAGGAAAATATTTTTTTTCATTTTTAATGTTGATATGTGTAAAAAAGAATTATGTTTTCATCCTTATTTGGAATTAACGGCACAGAACTCTTGCGATACGATGGACTTCATTTCGGAAAATTGAACAATTGAAGTAAGTCTCAAAAATAAAAACATTGAAAATGGTCATTGTGAAAATCAATTTCTCATAAGTTAGTTTAACTGTTATCATAACAAGCTGCAGTACGCGCGAGTGACGAAATCACCCAAGTGTGGTAAAATTTCTACTCTCTCTCTCTATACATATATATAGTATATTTCGTTGTAGTTGATATCTTAAATAACGATATGATGATTTTTCAGATCCATACCTTTCCAACGATATCTTAAACGTCGAAAACGAGCAATTCTCCTTCGTGGCCAGTAATTTTTTGACCTTTTTTCTACGGTCACCGAACGGCTTTCATTAGGCAGTGCCAGGCACACCCCGAATATTTGTATATCGCTTGAAAGGTCTTAAAGTGAACTATATCAAATGATTTCAAAAATAATTTCAAACTTTCAAGTTTGAAGTGGCTCAATTGGCTAAAAACCAAAAGTGACAGTACAGCCGGAGACATTTGAGCATTTTTCTCGAAAACGGCTCTATAGTTTCTTCTAAAAGTCAAAGCTATAATATAGGAGTATAGCCCATATCTCGCAAATTTCTTCTTTTCAAAATATGGCCTTTGATTCAAACATCACACCCATGACTATTTTTCCTACGGTTCCTGTGATGCCTCGACTGAACATACACAATGCATAAACATATCGTTGGAAAAGTCTTGAAGTAAGCTATCAAATGGTGCAATGAAAATTTAAAATATCAAGTCAGAGTGGCCAAAGCGGCCAAAAATACATATAAATAATGTTTCGGCAGGCAAACACAATGTGTTCAATTTTTTTTTTGAAAGTATAGAAAAATTATCTACCAACTATAAATTGATATTAGAAATTTTATGTTTCGAATTTCGGTTTCGTCACTCGTTTTTCATCTCTCTATAGAGGTTGTTTTTCTTTGATTTAACATTTCCCCCACATAAAATGCAGAAAATGTATCAGAGTTTGAATGTAACAATTAATGCGGGGACATCATCTGAATTTCGTTTGAAACGCATTTCACAGGCATTGACGAAAACACAAAGAGAGAGTGAAGAGAAATGCATACAACACTCAGTTCGAAAAACACATGATACAAACTAAAAAATTACACAGAGTGAGCACATAACAACGACGCCGTTCTCGTAAAATAAGAGATTTGCAGTTGAGACCGAGGAGTACAATACAACAACTGAGTTTGATTAATGATTTTCGTTTTGCTATAAGACACACATCTACACAAAAGATCTGAAAAGTATTTAACTTAGATTCTTTGAGCATTCAGCCGATGCTTTTTTTTATACGTACATATATGAACGCTTTCTTTTTTTGTAATCGACGCATTTTTTCCTTTTTTTCTTCTATTATCATACGGTTCGTTTTTTTTTGAGAAGCGCAAAAAGAATTCATTTTCTAAAATGTCCGAAAAATACATTCAATTTTTGCCTGGGCTCAGCTAAGAATTTCGCTCGCATTTGTATTGAGCGACACATTTATTGAAAATTCAGTAGTAAAATCACAACCTGAATTTACTCATTAAAACCTTATATGAAAAACGGTGATTTCGCACACAAAAAATTGGTCTACATTCGCACATAAACTTATTCATGTTTGTGGTATTTTATGAATCAAAGTTTTTAATAAAATGAAAAAACCACAAAATTTGAATTTCTGTTGAGTCACTATTGTGTTCAAAGACGAAACAGAAAGTAGCATTAACCATGAATACTGTTTGAATTATTATTCAATTATGAAGGAAGAAAGTACTGGCTGCTAAAGTGAGAATGAAAAAAATCATAATCACTGCAACAGGCTGATATTGTGGCTGTTTTTTGTCAGTTGATCGTCGTTGTGTGGCATTGAAAATGCAATAAAATGGATGTATAGTAAATTAATATTCTATGTGAAGTGAACAATAAACGAAATAATGATGTATGTAATCATTCGTTCTGTTGGGAAACCGCTGATGAAGTGCATTTGAAAACTAGATTTTTCAATTAAGCCCAATAAAGTCTGTCTGGCGAACAAAAGTCACTCCCATAGTTTCAATAGCGTAGACTCTTTAGAATCGAAACGACTATTGTGCGTTGCGTTATTTAACACAATCTCAAGACAAGATAAAGAAAAACACAGTAATAATTACACTGTGAGCGGAAAATGTTGATCTGCACGAAATATGGAAGCGAATGAGTGAATTTGACGTGTAAATTATGTTCCATTGATTTTTTGAGGTTGTGCGACTTTCTCATCAATTTCAATCATTAACAATCGGTTGACCACTTTTCACGAAATGCTCAAGCACGCGAATGCTAAACTGTTGCTGACACATAACGACGCTTAGGTTAGAACCATCAAAAATTCACTTCAATGAGAGAAAGAAAAAAAAGGTAAAATCTGTTTAATTTGTTACGGAATGTAATTGAAGTCATCATCATCATCATTTGAAGTTTGAATGTCTATAATCTCATGGTTTACCGAGCGCGTAAAACTTCCAATGGCGTGCGTAATCAAATAAACGCAAACGAGTAAATTATGGTTAGAGCAAATGTGAATGTCATTGCATGGAAAATCATCGGCCATTTATAAATTATTCATTTCGATAAAAAGCATTTTTTTTTCATATATTTGTACAAAACGGAACGATTATTATTGTTGGCACCATGATTACATTACAGTTTACTAAAGTCGCTTATTAAACTATTAATGCTCAATTAAGACATTTATCCTCTTGCATCGAAAATAAACACGCGATAAGAATTTGTTTGCTAAGATTAATTTCATTCGAAACTCCAAATAAACTGACACAGTTCTCATTTGAGTGCACTGTGAATTCAAGATCAACGTTTTCCACATCGCACGACACCGATTTTAATTGAAATTGTTCATTTTAAATATATAAGACTCGGGAAAATATGGCCACACATAATAATAAGAAGATAACAAATCTTATACGTTTTTCCAGGATAACCAACGATCAAGCGACTAAATGAACGAGCGCATACTCTTCAGTTACGTGACGAATGATTGATGATTTTGAATCATATGCGCCCGATTTCTGAACACCAAGAATACACATACACATGAATACATATCGTCAGCTTTCAAACACCTTTACATAATTAGATTTACTACGTGGATACTTTATCCAGCCATGACTATCAATCAATTATGCGTTGCATTTATTTACTCTCTGCTCTCGTGTTGTCACTTGATTTCGATGATTTCAAATAAAAGGCATCAAATCATTGCCGTGCATTTATGGGCCACCGAGACAGTCGGAGATTATCACATCCGAATTGCATAAAACAAACTAACAAGCTGTAATCAGTTTAAATTGGCACTTGAACACGCTTGATAATATTTATTTATTTTAATCATGTGACTGAAGCGCCTTTAAAATGCAAAAAAAAGTAAACATCTCATTAAATTCAATTTTCAGTTATCAATTTTCTTTCGTCGCGAAATTATGTCACTAATACTCGTTTTTCCGCATGCTAGCCAGTCCGTATTTACGACGAGCAAGCAAAAAAAAATGAGTGAAAATAAAATTGTGAGTGAAAAGCAAAAACTCAACTCAAAGTCAAACGCCATTCGATTGAATGTGAAAAAAAGAGAACACCAGTTCCACTTGGTAACGCTCTCTTTCTTTCAAATCATTTAAACGGCACAATCGAGGCGGTTGCTTTACAACTACAATGACGTCCATTTCAAACACTTCCATTGAATATGTTTGCGCAAGCTGACAGCGTTCAAATAAAAAGAGCAACGAACAATACGCAGAGCGAATACAAACGAATGAAGCATGGGAAGTGCCGAATACACTCAAAGCATGTAGATTGACAGAGATGGCCATAATTCAAAATTGGGCGGAGCTTTGTGACTTTGTTTATTTGTACAAATGCACGTAGTGTGCATTCGTCTTAGAATACTTCCATGAAATAGCTTACACAAACACCATAAAAGTGTTCACGTTGTGTTACACACTTTTTCGTTATTTCTCGTGTATATATTCTCTTTTCGTGTATTTTTATGTTGCTGTTGTTTCTCTCTTCTCTTTTTTTTTCAACGATGACAAACACATGCAACGATCGCATCGTTCTGATTTATCACACTGGCAAACGCATGAATTAGATATTTGTCGTTCATAACAAAAGAAAATCTCCTCACGTTCGGACGTGGAATTGTCGGTGTTAAATATATAATATTCATTTCTTATTCTTCTCTTTATACTCGTGTATTTGTGCAACTTATTTCAATTGAGTGAATTACTAAAAATTTTAAACTAGTTCAACTCGGTTATTGGTCTTTTGTGAAAACCGCCTGAAGTTTATTTAAAAAAAATAACATTTCTTTTTTGTTTCGTTCATTTCATTGTGTGCATACATTTTTCAAGTGGATTTAATTGAATTTCATGTTCGCTAAACGCGTTTATTGTGTGGATGATTGTGCCAATCAAACGGATTAAATTGAAAATGTGATGAGTGCAGTGCATTTTATTCTAGTTTTATGTTTATTTTGTGACATTGTTTTGAATTTTGAATAATATTTGAAGTTTTATTTCTAAAAAATTGGAAATCTTTGTTCACACTTAATTTGTGAATCAATTTTTGAAGTGGATTTTTCTTTTCAAACGATGCTAAATGAATCGAACCGATAAAAGAGAAAGATTTTAAAAGAAGAAAAAGTGTGATTTATTGATTTCCCTTGCTCAAAATTTCGATTGATAGTACGCGTTGTGTGGCGCGTTTAAAAAAGTATTTTAGTGAATAATGAGTTCATTTCTAATGGGCTATCCACATCACATTCAGACTCCAATGCACGGTGGTTCGTCCATCGATCCAAAATTTCCACCAAACACCGATGATTATCACACACATCATCACCATAATCATTTGCATCACAATGGTTATGGACACAATGGAAATTCAATGGGCAGTAGTATGCCACCGTTGCAATCGAACAATGATTATAGCAATGGAATGCATCAAAGTGTTTCGAATGGCATGCATCCGAACACAACAACCAATTACAATTATCCGCCAACGATTAGCGGACACTTCTATCAACAAAGCTACAATTCGCAAATGCATCATGTGCCTGCACCACCGCCAACAACAAACAACTCATATTCCTCGTCAAATCTTAACGGATACTATGGATCGTATTATGGATCAAATGGTAATCAAATGATGGACTTACCATTGCAATGTCCAAGTTCAGAACCAACCAATACTGTTCTCGGACTACAAGAGTTGGGTAGGTTTCTTAGTTAAATTTGTTTTTTTTTTTTTTTTTTTTTTTTTTTCAATTTTGGAATTACCACCAGTTATTACAATTAAGACATCAGTCGTTGCGGCGGAAAAATAGCTCTTATTTTGGTCCCAATAATACTAAAACATAGAGTTTTATTTATAGATATTTGTTGTAATACTCGTATTTATGTGAAAAAACTTGACATTGCATTACTATTTGGAGCAAAATAAGAGCCTATTATAAATTACAATATGTGTAAAAATTGCAAATTTGACATACAAATAGAGAAATTCACGATAAAAATGATAAAATGTGATGATTAAATTAGGTTTAAGACTGGAAAAGCGGATAGAAGAAGCCGTGCCGGCGGGACAACAATTACAAGAACTTGGCATGCGACTACGATGTGATGACTCTGGTTCGGATAATGTAAGTATATGGTTTGTTTATGTTATGCTCTTTGTTTTTTCTCTTATAACTCTTGCTTGTTGTTTCATAATATTTTCTTCGACGATACCATCAATTATTTACTCCAAAAGTATAAACAAATTAATAGACTACCTTCAGCTACTTAACCCTATGCCACTCATTGGTGTATGGCTTTCAAACAAATATCGATTTCAAAATGTAAATAAAAACCATGTTTCTCTGCCCACTAATTAGCGCCAAAATCATACACACACAACAACACTCACCAGTATAGGAAGCATGTACATTGTACTTATTCAAAACAAAAAATGCGTGGTATTTCTTTCCGTCAAATATTTAGTTAAAGTTGTCTGCTATAATTGACTGCATCTAGTTGTACATGTCAACCAAATAAATTGTTTACAAGACTACTGTGCGTGAAAACTGAATTTTTGAAATCGTTTACATATCTTTACTCCAAGGAAATGTATTCTCTTCAAAAATGTGGGTGTTTAGATTCCAAACTCTGTAGTCGCAATGTGTTTTCAATGGAAATGCTTTTAATCAATACTTATGATGCTTCACGTAAAAGTTTCTTATGGCAACGAAAAAAGTACGAGTTTTTGGTAAAAAAACTTTTCGTGAACGCTGTTTAAACTTAGTTCGTTAGAACAATATGCAATTATCCAGTAACTGGCACGTGGTGAAAAAAAAAACATTGGTTAAAATTGGTATCTTAGCCATCTAATATAAACACTCACAAGCTAATGATGTGATATGTTTGTTGTTGGAATGGTTGATGTACAACACTTCGCGGACTCTTTTGTTGATTGTAATTATTTTCACATCAATCAAATATTGATTCTCACATTGACGCGACCCATCTTTTTTCCAAACACACACGCACATGCACACAAATATTATAAAATGCAAATGAGGTGAAACTAATAACTGTACGCTCTCTTCATTGGCACGCTTTTGTTTTATCGTTCAACCGTCCAATCGTGGAGATATGATTTTTAGCTACCAAAACACAACGCACAAAAAAACGTTGCTAAACAATTTATTTTTCATGAAGCGAACATGATTTTGGTTGCTGTCAAGTTCAACAATCTAATTGTAATTTATGATTTTCACTCGACCTGTCGAATTGAGCAAGACCACTTTCAGATTTAATTGGTTTTTTTTTTATTCTTTGATGAAAATTCTTCTCTTATCAACAAAAAAAATCGTCTTTTCATCGAAAGCATAGAATTTTTTTTGAATTTTTAATATATTTCTTCATTTCTCCGAAAAACTGTATTTATTTGAAATTTGTATTTTTATGGTATGCGTCAGGATGATTTGCTTGATGAGGATCGGTTAATGTTGGATCGTTCACCGGACGAAATGGGCTCACATGGCAATGACATGGATGAATTGTGCGGATCCGACTCCGATTTAGACGATGATGCCAATGAAACAACCACCGATGGTGAACGAGTCATTTACCCATGGATGAAGAAAATTCATGTGGCCGGTGTTGGTAAGTTATGTTTACATTTCATTCCTCTGAAAAATCAATTCAAGATTTTCCGTTGGAATTTTCTGCATGGTCATTTTGAGGTGGTATTTTTTGTTTGAACCAAATTCTTTTGTTTAGAAAAATTTATACAGACATTTGAAAATGGACATTTATTTTGCCGCATATGGATTGAAATTTGTAATTTTTGTGATTTGCACAAGAGGTGTTTTTTTTAGAGAAAAATGCATCAATTTCAAGCGAATCAAATATCATAAATTCAATGAGAATAACCAACGCAGTGGGTACGATCCTAAATATTTCAAAACAGTAGCATAATTATCGCCAACACAAGCTCACCAAACAATCCCAATCTCAATTTAAATCGAATTAAGAAAAGCCAGTAAATCGAAAAGAAATTTGCATTTTCACATCGTGTGTCACACGAATCGTAGTGTTTCAATCAAAAATCTAACAAGACACCAAGAAAATAAAAAACCCATTAGTTAACCGTAATGCACGGCAGTGAGTATATGAGAGGTAGATACACATCATCGATCATATTTATTGTGTCTAATTTTTCATTTTTCGTTTATTTCATCGTGGTCGTTGAAACATATTAAATTACGGCCAATCCAAATAACCAGTTTACCTGTGCGAATATGGGCCCGCTACAGCTGTATAATGGTTAGGCATTAGTGTCATACACCTTAAGCGTATAAGATTTTTGTCATTCGGTGTTTCTTTTTCTTTTATTTCTTCGTTCTATCAATTGTAAATGCGCATTTGATTTGGTGTATGACACTATAAAATTCATATATTTCGGAGTGTATTTATGGATCGAGCATATAATCTACACGCATCGCACTGTACAGACTCACAAGAAATAATAAAACAAACGACACCGAGAAACAGACAAACGAAAATAAAATTAATGAGTTCCAATTTATCAAAAAAAATGCCGTACAGTGTACACAGTCAGTTGTGAGCGTAGCACTTTTCTCTCTATCTCTCTGTGTGTGTCTCTTTCGACTCACACCGAAACAAGTACCCCGACAGTCGGACAATAGCATTGAAACGAGCGTAATATGTAACTGGAGATGCATACCACATTGATTTTGCTGCTTGTTTGTATCATTGTTTCTTCGTGTGTATGTGTTTTTATTAATTCGTATGCTGAATGTATTTAAAAAGTATTACGTAGGAAAAAGATTTAACTTCAACTTACAATGAGTGAAAAATCGCATCGAATGTTCTTTTATCTGAATGCGATGGTTTGTTTTGATTTTTTTTTTGTATTTTCGAGGGCAGTCACAACCACAACAATAGCCACTATGACAACATATTGATCTATGCAAAAGGCAAACGAAAAAAGACAACCGAAAAAAAGATAAAAGTTTTGTTTTTGTTATTTTGAAGATGGAAATAAATCTCGTTTTGAAGATTTTTAAAATATCCATCAATTGACATTAATGTTGACCTTGTCGATTCAACAAATTTTACATCTTGTGATAGATGAGAGGTAAAATGTTACGGGCAATTTGTAAGCATTGAAAGTTTCATAGAAGCCAGTGCGTTTGAGGTCTTTCGTCAAAATCGACAGAAAAATTGAATACCAAAAAGGGCGCACACAAACACACACTGATTTTTGTCGATATTTAGTTTGTACTAATGTGTTAAATACTGCTGCTTTTGGTATCTAACAAAAATCTGAAAAATTGCCTTGCTCTTTGTCGACGAAAAGGAGAATTCTTGAAGCCAAATTTATTTTGAGCATTTTTTTGAAACGGCTGCATTTTTTTGTCGGGATACTCATTTGTCTTTTTTTCTTCTATGGTTCAAAACCAGACCGATTTATGTTCGCACATTCATCAAGCATTGATTTGTGGCATATCAGATCTATAGACTTCAACTCAACAGTAACACAATTGAAAATCGATTTAAATTTATTTATGCCAAACACTCAAAACTCATCATTGACTTTGCAATAGCAACATCACATTGCACCATCATTTCCAATACATTGTTAATCACTTTTGTGTGATATACTGAAGTGCCGATCAGCAACGGTGGTGGTGATGGTGACGAGAGAGAAAGAGAGGCGCATATATCCACTTTTGAACTCACACAGCAGAAATCGATCAAAATCATGTGAAACGAAAATATTTTGAAAAGAATTAATGACTTTACTGTTCCGTCTTTTATAGTTAAATAAATGATGGCAATTTGTTATAAGTCTATTGATTGTGACTCGTCTATGGCCATCAAATAGTTCAGCGTTCCGGGCGCGAGAACCAGACGGACCAGTCACTTTTTAGTATCGAAAACATACAATCTTTTTTCGTTTGATTTTGGCTGATTTTGCATCGATCGCTTTCGTTTGAAGCAAACACATTCGACATGAAAACAACAATGTACATAAATGTTTTTGAACAAGAAATAGACCTCACATATTTCTGCATAGTTACAAATGGAAAAAGTCAGTTATGTTTGGCAAATATGCGGTTTTATTTATTTCCTCATAACGTTTGCAAGAATTTACATCATCGATCGTACCAAAAGATGTTAAGTGGAAGAAGTGTTGTCTAAAATAAGCATGAGCTTCAGCGAGATATGATTAAAAGTATCCAATTTTAGTTGTGACAAGAACTTGTTTTTTTCTGTTCATCGTCCCACACAAAACGAATGTATTTTTGTTGCGTTGCTTTGCAGCTTTAACTGTTGCTGCTGATGCCGGACTGTGTGCTTTAGCATGCGCTATGCATGAAAATAAAAACAAGAAGCATCGCGGTGTTCGATCGACGTTTTTCATTCATTAAATGTCGTTGTCATAATTTCTTTTTTTCTTTCTCTCTCTTTCTCTCTCTCTCTCTCTCTCTTTTCCTCTCTCTCTCTCTTTCTCTCTCTTTCTCGATAATTATTGTTATTTTGTTCATATTTTTTGAAAATTGATGCACTCGCGTCGCCATATGCGGATTATGTTAAGTGAATATGCTCTCGATATCTGCGCTGATTTTAACGAAGCATTTTTCCCTCATTGATTTTGCTGTTATGCTTTTGCTTTGGCCACGTTTCATTAAAATCATCGATTGTTTATGGACTAAGATCGGTGTTCATGATCAATGTCTGCAATATGTGCAGCGCACTGTGTCACACGTTATCTCGTTCTCTTCTTTGACAATTCTTTCTTTTGTCGCGACATTCGTTTCACAATTTGATATTGTTTTGACCATTGATTCCAATTTCTACTTATATCCGTTCTTGAGTATGATGAATTGGTAGTCTCGATGAAGCAAGCTCATTTTCATGTTGTTATTTCATTCCATTTGCGATAAAAAAAAGTTTTTCGATGAAAGATTAACAATGACACACACAACGCGCAAAGCCAAATTGATGAATAATCCCGAATCTAACCATACGTATAAATGTGGTCATGGGTGTTGTTTTTTTTTTTACTTCAGGTAGAATATTAAGTCTGATGTAATGTACTTTTAACGTACACTAATCCGAAATGTCTACCGAACCGCAGCTCCACTTTTGATTACATGCTTTTTATTTCGATTAATTCAATTAATGTGACAATCGAAGAATTTCGATATGGATTTGAGTATTTTTCTTTCATTCATTGAAATGAATTTTGGTGTGGTCTATGACCGTCAAGGCTTTCAGTATGATTTTTTTTTTAAATATTATCAATTGACGCGGAACTCAATCACATATTTCTTTTATAGTTATCACTTGATGTCGGTCATATGAGTGATAACATTTCATTTGAATGAAAAAAGGTATTTTTCTCCAATCTTCAAGGCAAATATTTGTGATTTCCATCCATGAAATCGTTTAAATCAGCCTCCATAAATTCGACGTGGTTAAATGTCATTGAACCAATTTCAAGTTGAAATAAATTTGAATCGATTCCATTCAATTTGATCCTGAATTGTTTAAATCAATCTTTTCACATTCATTGTTTTACCCATCTACATATATGGAATAAATAACAGCATTCTTGTCGCATTCTTCGTTCATTTCATTAACGTTGGTTATTCCACCAAACGTGCACAGACAGTGCAAAACTGAATTCGATTCAAAACAAAATTAAAATATCTCGATGTTGTTAAAGTCAATCAAAATTATATTCGCTTATTTATTACATGGTATTTCGCGTTTACGATCTCTCTTTTCTCTTGTTGGCAAAATTGTTGGCCAATTTATCTTTGCGTTCAAGAGACAGAAAACTTTTACCCTAAAAATGACATTGATCGATATCGAACGCATTCTGGCAGCAACATCATCAGCAGCAGCGACAATGACGGGCGCGCGCTCGTTCACGAGACTGCAAATGTCTCTTCAACAACCGTCTCGACGGCAAAGGGTGTTGGTTCAAGAGACAATTGTTGATACCGTACAAATCAAAATATAATTAACGATTTCCGTTTTGCAGCACATTTTACAGTTTCCATTTCGATTGTTTGGTAGCTCTTGTTCAAATATTCCATTTTTGACATATTTAAATGACCGATGAAAATATTTTAACGAACTTCCTCCCGATAAACTTTAAAATCGAGACAAAACAACTGATAAAACGATATCATTTCTCGGTTTTTTGACACGGATTTGCCCTGACTTGATGTTCTCTTGATGGTTTCTTTTCTCTCTGTGTGTGATAAATTACACGAAAAATGCAATCGAGTCGATTTTTATTTTCAGCTCATAAAAGTTTTGACTGTACCAATTTCAACATATTTTGCCACCGGCAACTTTTTTAAATAAACTCATTCATCCGTTGCGAAACCCTTTTTCTTCGTTACCATCGCACATTCATCCGAAGGAAGAAAAACTTTAATCAAACAAGATTCCGTGTCATGCAATGACGTTGGACGTTTCAGCTGCTGCATTTCATGCTATGCCTATTTTGCATCTTCCATAACAATATTTCATTTCATTTAAAAGAAAATTCTCTTTGAAAATGCTATCCGTTGGAAAGTTTTCCGCGTAAATTTTTCGCGTGGAAAATATTTTATCAATTAATATCCATCAAATCAAGGAAAAGCAACAACTCAAACTACAGTAGCAGCCAACGCATTCGCTTCAACACTCAAGGGATGTAAAACGGTCGACTTAGAAGTGTGTTCGATTCGTTTCGCGCTTATGGAAATTATTCGATAAAACTCACAACGGGCGACCAAACCCTTTCGATAAAAGTGTTGACGATTTTAAAAACATCTGATGAACGGGCGTATGAATTTAACACGCTCAACCGTGTGTATTGGAAAAAACAAGCGATACTGCTATGTGTGACGGAAAAATGGAGCATTGAACATGCACCCGCGTCAAAATAACATCGAATCATTAATTATTCGTTTCTATTCAAACTTTTTGAAATTCAAAACAGTAACTCGGCAGCACCATTACCCAAAAATGAAACCACGTAACCAAAATTGACCTGATAATTTCATAAAAATGTGCACGGATCAACGTTATTATGCATCAGATGTTTATCTATTGTTTGGTATAATTTCCAAATATTAAAATTATATTCCGTTATCCGTTGGATCCATTATTGAATTTCATGTTGTTTGTTCTAATTTTGTTTTGATTAGAAAATTACTTTCGATCAAGAACAAAGACGAAAAAAATGGTCGACTGAGCTGTAATCTCACTCTTTTTTTCAGAGTTATTAAATTGAAATGGTCAATAATGTCGGTGCTTTATCAACTAATTTAATCGAAATGAGATTCATCAGCTGTAAAAGCGTTACGTTATTCGGTCGGCTTGTTTCGATTTGTTTGTATGTACGTGTATATCGAATCTATTTCGAAAAGAAAATCCCGCGCGACCAAAAAACAAATAACAACATATTATTCGTTTATAACAAGCGACTAACTAGCTTTCATTTGATGGCTCCCAAATTTTAATAGAAAAACATCATTTTATCCTATCTTGATATTTTTTGCTGTGTTTGTGTGTTTTTTCCCTTCTTCTATTGGCCATCATCATTCCAATAATCGAAGTTCTTTTGTTCGGTTTTTGGTTTTCAATTTTCATTACATTGTTTTTCCATCCAAAGTTCGATTAGGTCTGGTTTAAAAAGCGACGCCATAACGCAAGATGAAGAAAAAAGCTAATCGTGCTGCTTATTTATTGAATACATTGTTTATTTTTCTCGTCGTTATCGTAGCCGATCAAAGCATCGAAAGCATATGAATTGTAACCAGTTAAACCGAGATACACTCATACACAGAGGCCGAGAGATGGCAAATGTGTGTGACTGGCAAAGGCTGTGTTTTTTCCCTCATTGTTCTATTCTGATATGTTTGTAAAATGCGCTTCTTCTGTTGTTCAGCTGGCTAATAACAAACAACACAACAGGCTTACCAGTTTTCACATAGCACCTTGGCATAAATTCTGTGTTTTTTTTTTCTTCTTCTCATTTTGCTTCTCGTCATCGAGTCGTTTTCATTTTATTTCGCTTCAAAATATTCTCTATTCATTACGGATGACTTGCGACTTTCATTATTCTGCTTAATCATCAACGTCAATACGGAGAGAACGAGAAAGAGCGTTTTAACCAACAGACATGCATTCGCACGTTGAAAATGTGTATACGCTGTCGATCGATATGAGAGACATACGAGAATTGCTCTCGCCAATTGCTTTTATTCCATGTGCGCTTTGATAACACACAAAAAATGGCCCGTTCGCTTATTACGTCTATTGATTAACATGCAAATCAACTTGTAAATGGCATAAATATTTGCAATTTGAATTTTTATAACAATCTATGCAACTTTCGATTTGTTAATTACTTGCTGCCTTACGTCATTGCATGCGCGCATGCCTTAAAAAACGAATTGAGAGTAAATTTGATTGTTGAATTGCATTTGCAAATTCAATTTGAGATCTTTACAAATTTTAACTGTTTGTACGAACTTGCCAGCTCAAGGTTATTCACAGCAATCGATCAAAATGCGCGTGCCTTTTGTGAATGTTGATTGAAAATAAACTGTTCACTCAAACTGTAGTATATTGGATTGAATTTTCAATGCATTGAACACCTACAAATAATCATTTATTCAAACAATTAGTTTCGTTGTTTTATCCTGCTCGCACATTTTCATTCACTTTGGCATAAAAAACAAGCAGTCCGCGTTTCAATTCGTTACATTCGCGGTGCAGACATCTGCACTTCAACAATAAAAACGATGATCGAAAGCGAGTTTTTCACACCATCGAACATTGAATAAACAAAAATGAATTCCATAAACAAGTATCGAAATAAAAAAAAAACGCTGAACACAAAAGGATAGAAAGGAACATATACTATGTGTATGTGCAGTATGTACAAAATAAAAGTGCCAATTCACGATTTCATTTATGACAGTATGGTTGTAGTTACTCATGTCTTCGAATTGCAAATGTTGAAGGTGTTTTTATTTTAATGGCTGTAAATTCCTGACCAAGTCTTGTTTTTGTATGCAATTTTCAATGTATAATTGACCTAGACTGTGAAATTAGGCATGAAATTCACATTGAACTTAACTCCGACGGAGTTCACACTTTTTGTCTCTCACTCATTTTTTTATTTATTCGTCACTGATTAGATATATGAGATTAATGCTTGTGCAAAACATGATCATTTTTATCTATTTGTAGACAAACGTGTAGTAAGCTTAAACACACATAGATTTTTTTTGAACAAAGATAAAAGCAAACTTTGATTCAAATATGAATCAAAGGCTGTGACAAAATGAAAGATGAAGACAAAATGACGAAAGAAGTGTATTCTTCAGAATTGAATGTAAAAACTTGAATGAGATAAATTTTCTCACAAATGAATGTGCAAATCGCAAATGGTTTCAAGTAGCAGTTTATTGCAAATGAATCCAGTTGACACCAAGAGGTGTCATTATGCTTTTGAAATTACATTCACTATATTGAATAATTAATTCGTTTGTGTGTACATTTTATTCAATCGGAAACAATCAAGTTTCATGATTTGACAAATCATTTAATAATTCGCATCATTTGAAATGTGAAGATTTTGTTTCATTCGTTTGAAGTAGCGATTTATTAAAAGAATGAATTCAAATGAAATAATCGCATGAAATTGACCGTGTACAATTGATCTAATCATTTTTTATATTAGTTCAATTGAAATATCAAAATCATTGCATTTTATAAAATGTTTCTCTTCCAATTTCAATCTAGCAAAAGGTCAATATCAACCGGGCATGGAACCGAAACGTCAACGAACCGCCTACACACGCCATCAAATTCTCGAATTGGAAAAGGAATTCCATTTCAATAAATATCTCACCCGGCGGCGACGCATCGAAATTGCTCATACGCTAGTGTTATCGGAACGTCAAATTAAAATATGGTTTCAAAATCGACGCATGAAATACAAAAAGGATAATAAATTACCGAACACAAAAAATGTACGCAAGAAAACTGGTAACGATGGTGGATCGGCCACGGCAAATACGAAAAAACCAAAGCGAATGACCAAATCAAACAAGCAATCACAACAGCAGCAGCAGCAGCAGCAACAACATCAAGCCCCAGTTCAATCCGATGTAAGTTGAAGTATTCTCAAAGCAATTACAATCCAATTCACTGATTGATCACACGCCGGTATTGACTTGCGTGCGGTTTTTTTTCTCTCGTTAATTCTTCAATCGACTCGATGAACACATAAACATTCAATTAAAATTCAATTTACTCATTTGTTTGGCGCACAATTTTTAAGTAGCGTAAAAATCACATTGTGTGTTTTGATCACGCGCGCATGCCTACCGTACTTGACTATCGATTCAAATGTTTTATTATACATCATCAAATGCTTCTGTTACGGTTAAATGAACGATAATGATTTGACTAAAAATTACATTTGAATATGCCGTTCTTTCAATCATTTGTATTGATTTCGGATGATGATTTGTCTCATTTTCTTATTCAAATTCTTTCATTTTTCTTTGCAGTGCGTGCGTTCGGATAGTTTAGAAAGTATGGCCGACATGACATCATTAGGTAATATGCCATATATACCAGCTGCGTCTGATGTGGCCGATATGATGGCGCAAGGTCCACCACAGCAGCAGCAGCAGCAGCAGCAATCACAACAACAAATGCTGAATCATCAAACGAATACCAATGGCAATTTAATGGGTCTATCGATGGATGCAATGCATCCGTCACAGCAATCACCGCCAAATCACTCACATCAACAGACCATCAATATTAAACCTGACTATGGTCTAACGGCATTGTAGGATTCGGACGATGGAATGCATGCACTTTTTGATTTTAACGATACAATGTTCAAGTGACATTTAGATAAAATAAAAAAACGATACAAATTTAAATATAACTTGTGAATTTCTAAGCCGCAAAATGTAAATTCATCTTGAGAGAAATGATAAGGAAGATAGCATTTAGTCATAATTTTAATGCATTTTTTTAGGATTTAAATTTTTTGGTTTTATTTTTTTTCCTTTTGAGTCCCGGTGAATTCTTCTTTCTGAACGGAATGGAATTTACATGACACATATTCGGATGATACAGAGACTAGGCTTATTCGTAGAATTATTTGCAGCACATTTTGCCATTTTTGTACAAAAAAAATATATCGTTTTTTCCTTCTTTTTAACTATAGCACACTCTCGCATTGCATTGATTCCATTGTAAAAATAAAATAATAATCGTTGTAATTAGATCGCATGCCGTGGCTGGTGCATTCATTTTCCAAAGATGTCCAATTTTTTCTTTTGTATAAATTTGAGGCGATTCATTTTTATGTTTAGATAATTTTAATTATTATTAGATTATCATTTGATGTTATGCAATTTAAGTTTAGTTTAAACATTATTCAAACTCTCTCATTATCTCTCTAATGGCGATTTTCTTCAAAATACAAAAGCCGAGCATCGGCATAATTTTTAGTTGATTTTATACATAAACATGGATAGAAAAAAAATTAAGGAAATTTTAATGTACACAATAAGATTCTTTGAACCTGAATTGTGTTCAACATTTCATGATGGAATATGTGTCTAAGTTTTTCTCACTGGAGATGATAGCATTAGTATATTTAGTGTATAGACATTGAAATAAGAGGATAACAAAAGAAATCACCTACAAACATAAAAATGTACATTTAATTGTGACACTTTACCGCTATGTATTATTGATAAATGTAAATAAGTTTCTGAATAAACATGAGACTACATTGAAATCGAATTATGTTCCTCTTTTTCATCATTTTTGTTTGCAACCAAAAAATGCACAAAGAACTTACGATTTGAAGCTACCTGTGCCGACAAATTTTATGCAGAAAAAGACGACAACAGTTTTTCTTTGACAAAAGTCGAGTTAAAAATGGATAATCCTATTTGCAAAATCCATTCAAATGTATGTATATACATGAAATTCTTGTAAAAATATTGAATTTACAGGAAACATTCCTACTGAATCGACAATGACATGTCTTTGTAAGAAAAGAAGTGCCGAAAATACTTGTAATTTATGCGTAAATTCGTTTCGGCAATTTTGTAAAGGGTTGTTATCTGTTTGAACGCCGCATTTTCTTGTCTTGTATATTGTTGCTGCTGTGATGACTACTGCATGTAAACTGCACACTTTAAAGTGATTATCCTATTTTGTGAACAATCGACTTGAACAACTTGGCCGTTTTTCGGTAGCCGGAGTGTTTCTGTCTACTTCTTCAGGAAGCAAAATTCATACATTTCTTCATGTCATCACCATTGGGATTTTCGGTTTACTCTTTGAAATCGCATTTTTTCTTCTGTTTTCCAAAAAAGATGATTTTTAAAAAACTTACAAATATGACTTTTGCGGATTTTAGTATTTGATCTTTGTTTATTAGTAATATTATATCGAAATCAGAACTGCTCAGCCGTATTTATATTTTTTAAGCTGTGATACCTTTTTTTTCACTCAAGTGTATGCTTTTGACATTTAGCTGCATACATACATGGGATTATAAAATTGTTTGAGGGTGTGTACGAAAAATAAAGAAGGAGGAGAAACGATTTACGAATAATGTGCACATGAAAGAAATGGCATTTTTGTTTTAACTCCGCATTTTGGCAAAAAAGTTTTGGCTATTTTTGAAATCGATGCGGCGCTTCTCGATTAATTTCCGTCTCAAACAAATGTTGACTTCACTCAATAAACTAATTTCCTTTGGCAAAAAAAGCGAATGTAATGTGCAATGTTTGTGCGAAAATCGCTCAAATAGCATCCAATTTAAAGTGAAACGAGAAAAGAGAAAAGAAATAATTATGTGATAAAATTGATCCAGCATTCGTTTCGTTCGTAGCGCATTATTCAATGCGCAAAATATCAATGTTCCCTTTTTTACTCTTGCTTCGTTCCTTTTTTTTCTGTTATTCGCTCTCTTTATCCGCCTTTGACAAAGAAATGAAATTAATGATGGTAGTATATATTTGTGACATGGTTCTAATTTTCATTTAACGCATGTTTTGGTGCAATAAAAAGAACTTCATACTTTGTATGCTGAAACTGAGACAGCATCGTCGACGTCTGCCTGGTGGTGCTTCAATTCAGAGTGAGAGAGGCATTCATTGGTTTTGTAAAGAAATTGTCAGCTCAAGACGATTCCATTAGAGCGATTTTCGTTGCGAAGAACATTTTCGGGGTATGAGTGTGTACTTTTACCGTGATAAGCAGCAGCAGCAGCAGCAGCAGCAGCAGCAGCAGCAGCCAACAGCAAAACGAGTGAATTCGGTGAGTTAAAGAAATGAAAAAAGAAATTTTAACAAAGTGCTTGAAAAAAAAATCAACGATAAAGCATCGAATGGGAAAAAGGCGACAAGAACAAGAACCAAGACCAAATAGAAATACAATGTAAGAGCGAAGAAAATAACGAACATCAATGTCTGCACTCTGCACAATTTGATTAATGATTTCATAAAACACAACAACAGTATCTATGACTAATCTACTTATCCGATGTATATGTACGTATTCCATATAGAGTATTTGATATATACTTTTTTGTCGGTTTGACAGTGCAGTGCGGTACCGTTTGCTGTGAATGTTGTTCACTGGACGAAATTTAGATGAAAAGCATCTCTTTTCAAACAATTTCACATGCGCTCGCTTACAATTTCACAACGCACACGAGTTATACGCATTTTGGATTTGTTTAGTGTTCATCGTTCCACACAAAAAGCACTGACAGTTTTATATTTTCTCTCTGTATGCCTCTCTTTTTTTCTTCGTCATAGAAAAAAACGATGTGCCAAAAACGCACCAAAGCCTTGACATGAATCGATACAGTTGAAAAATAAACATAATGGATGAAATTTTCTCTTTCAATCTCGTCCCTTTTCTGCCGAATAACATAACAATTTTCCCTTCTATTCCATCGAAACTAACGAAATCATAGTCTGCGATACAAGATCGGGATTTCGTCCATCTGACACTTGAGTTTGACAGACGAAATATTTAATAGTTTTTCACGAAACCGTTTCAAAATAAATTATTAGTCGGCAAAATTGCAGCTGATGCAAAATGTGTTTTTCTCTCTGTATTTCTTTTTTCAGCAATAAACAATTTATTTCGAAATAAAAATTCGTTTTTTTCTTGTTGTAAGATTGAAAACTTTTTTGAAAATTTGAGTAAGTTTCGAACATTTTAATTTTCGAGAATGCAATGCACGACGAATGGGCTGGACCATTCCATAAACCGTACAAGCTGTGCACCAGCTATTTCATAGTATTTCTTATTCACATTGAATTTATTGAATATTTCGTATGATGTCTCTTCTGTGAAAACGCATCACCATGAGAACAAAACGAGAGAAAAAAATGAATTAAACCTGTCAAGTTTTTTGAAGCAGGTTGCTGCTTTTTTCTTCATTTATCTCCACTTCTTCTTTTATTGTCCAGAGTCAACACACACACACACACACACACACACAATCACACTGGTATTGTATTATCAAATATAAAACCTCTGTTGAAGAACGAGTGACGAAACTAAAATGTGTAACACAACATTTCTGATATCATTTCTGTGATAAGCGGAAGAGCCTCGGTGACCGTAGTGACAAAAGTCAAAAAATGACTTTTAAAGGCCGACCACTGTCAACATGACGGCCATTTCGAAAAGTGCTTGAACAAAAAAGTTTTTGTTTTTTGTGTACTTTAATCCCAGACAAAAAGATCAGAATCGAGTACGCAAAACACAGTCAGACATTTTGAAGTTTCATGGGGATTTCATATGAAATTTTGAAAATACTGAATTTTTCGAGTGGATTGATCGCGATTTCGACGTTTAAGGTTTCGTTAGAAAGGTATTGATCTTTTGAATCAGAATATCGATGTTTCGTGGTCAAAGGCATTCTGGGTTTGAATTTTGGATATTTCGTGTTTAAATAGCGAGTCGACTTTGCACCACATTAAGTTGGTTTCGTCACTCGCGTCCGCTGTGATTCGAATGTGAAATGGATCAACGCGCTGTGCCATTCAAAATCAAAAATTCTCCGCATGCCTTATGCAAGACTCAAACTTTTGATATCTGACCACTCCACACGAGCACACACAAAATCATTGAATAATAATAATAATCAGAAAATGAATAAATTTTCAACTCTCCATTTGTATTATATTTCTGTGATATTCTGATGCGTAAATAAAAGACTGTCAGTTCAAGTTTATTTTGGTGTAATTTTTGTTCGAATGATGTGTCGGTGATCGCATCTGTTGGTGGTTTTGACATCATCTTTTCATAATGAGCAGCAAGCGAGCGAAAGAAAAGAGAAAAAAAGCGAAATCCATCAACATGAAAAACCATTATTTAATTCTACCGTTTTCGATTGGTCGATAAACATTCAATAGCATTCTTCTTGGGCTATTTTTCTCACTCAGTGCGACTCTCCATACTCGAAGGAAAAAATATATATGAATATACTTCCTTCATGAACCACTATAACTTCTGTTCAGCATATAAATCAAATCAATCACATATATTTTGATGGCTCCACAACGAAGAAAGAAAATATGATTAAATTTTAATAATGTTCGAATGTTTAGCGATCTCACAGTTCTAATACTCACAAAATGGCAAAACTCAAAATTTACAAAATTTAAAGACCGTAATAAAATCAATTTTTCATTTCTAGATCCTCTTCTCTTCCCTCTTGAGTTTCTTCGTAATAAAAAATTTAATTTTCCTTGATGTTCGATTCGTGATAAATCCAGGATTTTAATTTGCTATTTTGGTCAAAAACAAATCTATTATCGATTGTACAAAGCCTCATTTAATCCACATTCGTCCCCTATCAACAGCTCATCTTCTACCACCGCTCCATGCTCAAAGAATAATGCTCAAATCAAAACCAATTTACCTATCTGCAAATGGCGTGCGTGTATGGCGACCGAAATTCATGAGTGGCCATCGTAAATGATAAGAGGGAAAATGGACACTCGCAAATAAATGAACATTGACAGGCACATTTGACCAGTGTAGCTTAAAATGGTGAAACTTAAATAAATTAGTATTCAACACCTCAACCAGAGAGGATAAACATGAGATCCGTTTAATTACAAACACGAAGTGCCACAAACATTTGGAAACAGACTCTCTTATATAATCGAGTCTTTTGGATTAAGTTAATGAAAATGGGGATAGTTGTTTATACGTTCAGTGCTTCTGAGCTATTGCTCATCTTTGAAAGAAAGACAGCAAAGGTGAATGGATTCAAAACATTGACAAAAAATAAAATAAAATAAAAACAATAATAAACAAAATAAAAAGAATTCCGAAACTTACTATATGAAATTGGAATGTCGTGGATTCAATGAATCTGAACAAAAGCCCATTCAAGCCATTCAATTTTGCAATCTATTTACTTCTCCTTTTTTCGCATTCGATGGAATAATTAATTATTCATGTGCCAGCATGTCGCTGACTTTATTGCTGTTTCCAAACAAATGCGATGCCGATTTTGTTATAAAGGCTTGTGTGTTTTTCTTTATTCTCATTCTTTCTGCTAAAGAAAGATTCTTTTCATGTTAATCAGAAATCAAATGTCGTCATGACACGAGAATTATGGACAAAAAATGTGTGCAAAAAAACGTAGCCCACACACGCATTGATTTGTGCACAGCTGAAAGAGAAAGGCATTACAATGTGCAAATGCAGTCTAGAGCACAGCTAGTAAATTTCGTTTAAATGACTTTTCATCTTCA